AGAACTTGGTACTTTCTGTCTTTATTCATTTAACTAATTACATAGCTTAAACATTCATTTAGTCAGTTTTTTAACACATTGCTATGATGATACTATAAAGGATGAATAATGCATTTATTTAGTATTTTTTTTAATCAACTTCATGTAAAGCAGTGTTTGGATGAAAATTAGAATGTAGTTGAAAAAAACAACAAACCAGTTAGGTTTCTGGACACCTTTTAACAACAGTTTTAAATGGAAAGCCAAAGCCCATTTGCCTTATTAAACAAAGGAGTTACTATTTATAATTAAATAATTTGCCAAAATTACTGATCCTGGCAGTATTCCGGTTTCTGGATCTATTAAGACTCATTAGGAAGTACTTTTTTACTTTTTCAGTTACTTGAAGATGAATATAAGGACTTTTAATTTTCCACTTTATTTCTTTAGATGAACGAGGTAATAACTGACTGTACATAAATGTAAAATCTCTTATATAGCATGAGCTCAACAGGAATTTTTTGATATGTTAAAGCAGAAACCATTGTCAGATTCTGATCTTAGGATCCGAACAAGTGGTTTACCTCTGGCAGTAAGCACATACTGCTTAATTCTTTTAATTTTAGTTCAAGGTTTTTTAATAAACACAGATCTTAACAAGTATTAATAATTTCAAATAGGCTCTGTAAAGAGGAAAGTATATTTAAGTTGTGGGTTTAAAAACTGTCATTTCTTAATGGCCCTTGTAACAGCAAACCTGAAGGAAATAATACCATTTTAGTTGCTGAGAAATTTGATCAAGAAAAAACAAGGGCAATAGTGAAACAAAAAATATAAATTACTACGTAACATTGAAAGAGGAGGAGGGATCAAAGTAGAAAACTGGCATAATTTCATAATGCAGTGTATGCTTCAGAGGAATAAAAACTGGGAGGAAGTAAACTTACACAAATTTAATGTCCTGGTTCATAGTAAGTTCTGTTAACTTTGGGATGATACTTAGAGTACCACACCATCTCATGTACACGTAGAGTGGGCAAGGTCTTCCCAAGAGATCCAGAAAGATCAGAGAGCTGGGCACTTACCAACCCTGTGAAATTTAACAAGAGAAGTGCACCTGGGATGGGGTAATCCTGGTTATATGCACAAACTGGGGGATGAGAGGCTGGAAAGCAGCCCAGCAGAAAGACATCTGGGAGTTTGGGTTAATGGCAAGTTGAGTATGAGTCAACAGTGTGCCCCAGCAGCCAAAATTTTAAAATCCTCACATACAGAGGGATTAAGTTATGCAAATTAAGTCTTAGCCATATCTTCCCCTAACCAAAACAAATTATCAGATATTTTGAAGGGTTTGTGTGTTTCTCAATTTTATCATCTCTTTTAAAAACAAGTAAGAGACTCAGTGTTCAAGATCTGTCTCACTTGTTCTTTTAACAACCTAGTTCTCTCTGGATTCATTTATGTTACTTTCCTTCTAACTTCATTACCCACAACTAACTTCCTGCTAATGTGATTTTTCATTTTTCAGCCATTCCAAAGCACAGCACAGAAACAGTAGTTAGACTTCCATTTCTCTTCTTCACCACTTCGCGATGTTAAAGTCTGTAGATGAGGAATGTTGGCACCAGCACCAGGAAGAATAGTTTGCTTCACAGCATGACAAAATTCTTTCATACATTGACAAAAACTTAAAGGGCAGTGTTAGAAACAATAGCGTAGGCTATTAAATGTGGTCTACTTGGAGCTGAATAGAAAAAAATTGGACAGTGATAAGTGTTAAAAAGCCAAATCTAGTGTATAGCATGTCTGCGTTTTGCAGAGGGAAGAAGATGAGAGTATAAAAGCAGATTTGCCATTTTATGGGATTTTTTTCAATTGTAGTCCCTGTCCGGCTTCTAGTGCAGCATAAACCAGGGAAAAGGCTGCTGTGAGTGTTTTGTCCTATTATCTAACCTAAAACTAAGGCCATTACTTCAGAGTGGAGGGAAAAATCAAGTGGGTCTGTTTGATGTGACGCTTCTGTGGCTTGTACTACACGCAGAACTAAAACTCCATGTGGAGATCTTGTCTGTTTGGCTCACCCTGTAAGGTGACCATTGATTTTTCTTCCTTATACTGAATTTCATACAGAAGAGCAAAAAATGCCCACTTCACACACGTTCTACAGCTATTACCGCCCTGGCAGGATGGCATGTTTCAAATTGTCCTTAGATCTGATCTTGATGATCCGAGGGCCGGGGATGGCTCGTTTGCAGTGCCAGCTGGCTGTGCAAGTTCTGCTTTGCTGGCCAAGGCTGGCTGTGCCACAGCCAGAGCCAGCCCTGCTGTTTCTGGGAAATCTATATGCTGTGGGCAGAGTGGTCTGCTCGCGTTTGCAGTGTGTTTGGTTGGAGGCTCACGTGTCATATTGAGTTGTGAATTACCTGTTAGACTGATGGAGCTTGAACTTCTCATTCCACTGATGCTGAGTATGTCCTATCACCTGGCTGCTTGCTTTGGGGAAACAGCTGTCGTCTTTAGTTTTGTGTTGGGGTTTTTCTGCCATTTTCAAGGAAATATTTTAAGTGATGAATTGTTGTCGCTAACAATGTTAGTTTCTTCACCTCTTCCTGTCTGCTCCTCCAGATCATGCATCAGGTTACTGTACTTTAGTATTTGAAGTGCTGAGAATGTGTAGAAAAGATCTGGGGAAGGGGGCTTTGGGCTGGTCACTCTTACAGTGAAAAGCCTGAGTGTGTTGTGTGTGCTCAAGGGTGACAGCATTGTATTGCAGATGCATAAAATGAGAAAAATGCTAGATAAATTTTACATGACAACAAGGTAGGCAAAATTTTGAGAATTCTTGTACAGAAGGTGGCTGTTAGGTGTTCAGCTTCAGGGTTAAGATGTTGGTTATGCAGTTGGTGGTGTCAGGACAGACATTCTGCTGTACAGCACTGTATGCAATAGCAAGTTAAGTTCTGAATTTAGGACTGGTTTGGTGAAGAAAAAAGTATATATGTATTCCAGTGGCTTTCACTTTGCTTCCCTTTTGATGAAACCTGATGTGACAGAGAAACTGCTAGATGCTGGCAAATAATCCTGGGGTTTCAAACCAGCCAGACAATAAACAACTGTATAATATTCAGTGCAGCAGCTTCTCTAGAGCCCATCTGTTTCAAAATAACCCTAATTCTGCTTACAAGGCGGAATGCTTTGTTGGCTGGAGTTTGTCCTAATTTCTGTGGTGGCCTGCGTGGCTCCGGTGCCATCTGCTGGGTGAGCCCCCGGTGTCCCCCGGCCCCGCAGGGGCACCGACCCAGCGCCTGCCGCCTCCCCGCTGAGATGCAGTGCAAGGGTCTAAGATTGCATATTCAGTCACTTTCTTACTTGCTAATGGAGTCGTATGTGCACAATTAAAAGTGTGAATTTAATATTGCAAGCTAATATGTGTGCGCTTTCTTTTTTTTCTCATTTTTTCAAGGAGGAGGAGAGAAATGGTGGCCCAGTTGCAGCTGTCATCTTGGGCATCCTTTCCTAAAACCTATGGACCTGTGTGGATTATAAATCATATTATTTGACTATTAAATTGCTCCTCAGGCATTTCTCTTTGAATTGCTTCAAGCAGTTCAGCATGTAATACTCTGCACCTTCTTTGCTTTTCACTACAAAATGATTTGATCTTTCAAAATGATGCTTCAAATGTAAAGCTCTTTGGAAAATAGTATTTCTCAAATAGTGCCATAGTGTTTCCAGAGACAGAGTAACAGCTTACATATTTTTCAGATTTGTCTCTAGCAAGTTGAGACACAGGGACAAGCTGAAGATAAAATACTAAAATATACATTAAATATGTTTCCTGTATATTAATATGAATTTGAAAAATCCTTTTAAACAGTGCAACTCATTTTATAAACACCTATGTTAATATTGCTGCCTACCAGAGTTTGAGCAGCTATTGTTATCTCTGGAAGCATTTTCCAAGATTTTGACTTCTTGGTAAACATAAAAGGAAAATTATGAACGCATCTTGCTATTGTCACAGAATCATATGTTTGTTGGTGAGTACTCTACAAACGAAGCTGCTCGTGTAATTGAATGGGAAACTAACAGAGGCTCTGGGTGAGGTGGACCCTCCCAACTGCCTGTCATGGGAACAGGCCTTAGTGTTTGCTGCAGGCAATTTGTGATACAGGATACAGCTGTACTTGAAATTCATCTTGAAAATGAACATCATAGTACTACAATATTTACTTTTGGTTTTCCATATTCACTTTAGCTAATTTAAATGAGACCCTGAGGTGAAAGTTTAAAAAAATACTGAGTGTTACAGAGGCTGTTGTGTTATCTTTAAAGTTTATTTGCTTATCCTTAAAGTTGTAGCTGTGCTCAGAAGGCAGCCTCTCACTTCTGTTTCCCAGAGCCCCTCAGTTCAGGGGGTGTGAACCACAGCCTTTAAATCCTTCCTTTGCTTTGTTACTTCATGTGAATTCTGAGGAGTTGCTAGAATGGCCTGTTCTCACCTTTTCGTGCTGTGCCAGGGCAGAGAACCTTCCGTCTTGGTGTGCTATTTCTGCTCAGATTCATTTGCTTATGGTTCTGTCTGGATGAGCTGCCACGTGGAGTTTATTTCTGAAATTGCTGCCAAGGCAGGAGGGGAGCTGTGTGTGCGTCTGGCGTGGGTCAGCACCTGGGGGACTGCAATATGGAAAGCAAAACCAAAAGCTTTATTTTGCCAGAAGGAACTACTGAGGACTTTCAAATAAAGTAGGAATCATGAAAAACGTGAACTCCTGGGTTAATGCTTGTTAGATGTTTGGGTTTTCTTTTGGTTGTGGTGTGTTGGTTTGGTTTTTTTGTTTGTCTTTTTTATTTCAGTGTCTTTAAGAGCAGTTGCTGGAAGTTGCAATCGCCCTGAAACCATCGGAATTGGAAACATTCAACTCCCTGTTTGTGTTGTGATGCTTTGGGTTGCAGGGTATATGTGCATTTTTCTCATATAACAGAACAAAATAACAGTTGGTTTTCATTGTGTCTTATAGATTTTGGTGGAGCAACATACAATAATGAGCGGCGACCCTATGGCTTTTGGTTTCCACCTGAGCAACAGTCACAAGAGGAAGTAAGAAGGCAAAGGCTTCGTAGGTTTGAGAGACGATGAAACTGGCAGGTGTTGGTGTAAATTGTAAAGCGCTATTCAGAGTTACCAAAATATTTGCAGATTTATTTGTAATCTGTAATATGAAGATTTGTTTGTAATATTTTTCCAGATTTTTTTACTATTAGCTGCAAAACTGCAGAGGATTTTGTGAGTTTAGGATCAAAATTGGAACCTGCATAAAAACTGTGAGATTAGAATCAAAATGTGATCTTTGGCAGTCTCCATCTTAATGCACCTTAAATATGGAAGATGACTGATGGTTTTACCAAACTGTCTTTTTTTTCCTAAGTTCTTTTGTGTAGCTTCAAGAATTCCTTGGCTTTTTGACGGCTGATATTTTCAGACAACAGGTTTACTTCATCCACCACAGATGAGAAAAACATTACTTTTTTTTGTATACAATTGTAAAACTATGCAATTTTTCCTTACAAAATTGTCTCTGGGATGACCAACTGGTTTTGGGATTGGCGTGTGAAATGTCACTTGACATTTGTTGCTTTGATGACGACAGCTGGATCATGAGAGCCTAGGCTCAAGCTTTCCAGCAGTCTTGCGAACTGTGTGAAAAATCGTTGTGGGTGTCCTTGCCTTAAGGAGTTATTTAATACAAGCTTTCAGTCTTGCAGTCTTCCTTAAAACATGCTATTTTATTTAGAGCTTGTATGTGATAAAAATGAGTTGTAACTACTTGTTAAGAAAGGCTTTAAGAAATCATATTTATATTTTAAATTAAGAAATGCTTCCCTTTAGAGTTGAAATAATTTGTTGGGAGTTTTATGGAAAGGGAGGTGGATATACCATACAAAGAATGTATTTATTTAGTTACTTAGTCTTTTTCAAAGCATCTTTTTTTTTCCTTTTTAAGAAAGCTCGGAAATGGTATGTCTTGGTTGCTTTTCTATAAGTGCAGTAGCCATAGAATAAAACAGCAGATATTTCTACAGTCGGCTAACTTTTCTACACTCACTAAAAATATGTATCAAAAACCTGCATACAGTTTACATATTTTTCTCAGTAGGTACTAATTAGATGTAAATGAGGAGGGAGCATTGGTTCCTCAGAGTAATCTTTTAATGCTCTGGTCAAAAGTTTCAGTGTAATTTACTGTCTTAATCTCTGTTATTTTAATTATTTAAAACCACTGGATTAACCACTAGTTGGGTGAAAAATGGTACTTAAGTAAAATCAAAAACACGTTTGTAATTTTAAAAGCACTTGTTTTTGTAAAGTGAGGTTAGAAATATTTGCCATTAAATATTCACTAAAATTGCCAGTAATAATAATTGTTCAGCTGTTTTGACTCTTTTGTATACAAAATAAAAATAAATATTTTTTTACATTTAAAACTGTTTGGTTTTCATCACAGTAATAATGCATATATTTTAAATTACAGAGCTGCCACTACATTGTTAGAAATGAAGACTTGTGATACCAAGGGGACAGATTGATTATGTTGGGACTAATTTTGTTTCTTTTGAATTTAGTGGAAGTTCTGGGATTGGATTATTGAAAAGTTCCAGCGCTTACATATTTGTGAAAGTTTATTAACAGAATGATTCCTTAGTAGGATTTTTACTACTAAGAAACCCCATCGGTTTAGGTTTCAGAGCCCTGGTGATGGTAGATGGAAGCTGCAGCTGAATTCCTACCACATGCTCTGCTGCACCTTATCCCTTCAAGGACAAAAATTAAGGGCAGTCTGCACAGCTGAGTATTCCACATTGTGTGTTTTCTGATGCCCTTTAGTGCCCGACTAACTCTACATAAAGTAAGGATTCTTTAAGAAAAAGTAGTATTGTATAAAATACTTCAGCATCTGAAGGTTGATTCTTTTATTGCTGGAGTTGTGATTTCCTGTGAATTTTCCGTACTTCCTGTAAACTCTGTGATCAGGTACCAAGAAATTCCACCCCCTTAATTAATCCTAATCAGCAGACTTGTTAACAGGCACATTCTTGAAATTAAACGGTTGAATGACCTAACATCTTACTGCTAATAAATAAGGGGTTCTTGTAGTCCAGAATTAAAATGTGGTGAAAGAACAGTGTGTTTAACTTTTAAAATTCTTTTTCCTTTTCTGTCTTGTCTTTAAGCACAGGCAAATTATATGTTCTTGTGTATGTATGTTGTGGGGTTTTTTTCCCCTGGCAGTGCCAGTTCCCCTAAAGGGGGAAAAAATGCCCTTTAAAATACTGGGAAAGCAGGACTCCTAGGTGTTCCACAGCCGAGCGGGAGAGGTGCTAGGCGGGTGGAGGTGGAAGTAGCGTTCTCAGTACAGGCTGGAACCGACATCAAAACCGCTCCTGCCCCCCCTAAAATGACCCCTCGGTGCCAGGGAGAAGTGTTCAGGGGGGGAGCGCCTGTCAGCTCTGCTCTGCCAGCCTCCTCTCACAGGAGCTGTCGTGCCTGAAGTTACCTTTCAAACACGCTTTGCTCGCTTGTTCAGTGAAAATCAAAAACTGGAATTTTCATGGTCTGTTTATTAAAAAGTTTGACTAATGCCATCTTGTTTATTTTCTCATATAACTTAAAATACTCCAAGAACTCTGTTGGTATAAGGGATGTAGTAGGAGACAGTGGGAGCGATTGCCACTTCATAAAAGTTTTGCCTTTGAATTTTTTCCTTTGTTTTTGTTGGAAAGTGAAGGGACAGTTCAACTATATTCAACTATCTAATGACAACAGTATCATGAGTAGTATTTCTTCATACCGCATATAAACATCCAAGGAAAAATAAGCCTAAATATTCATTCATTAAATTAGGGATAGAGACATAAGTCTGTGGAATGATGATGTGTTTGGGGGGAGAAGGAAAGTCTTTACTAAAACGAATGATGATGTGTTTGGGGGGAGAAGGAAAATCTCTACTAAAACAGTTAAATTAGGGATAGAGACATAAGTCTGTGGAATGATGATGTGTTTGGGGGGAGAAGGAAAGTCTTTACTAAAACACTTTGCTGGGAGACTATTTTGATTGAGCTGAGGTAAGTCCCAGTTTGATAGCGCTTACGCTGAAAAAGCAGAAAAGAGGAAAGAGAGCGTACCCGATAGAGGTACAGTTTTGTATCAACGCTCTTTACAGCACATCTCTTTGTTTTTATTTTTATATATGTATTAAGGAGCTGAAGTTACAGATGATAGAGCCAAGGAGCTGTGAGCACTATTAGTCGAAGATAGTTATCCTGACCAAATGAAGGCAAAATGACTTACCTTTTCTTGTATGTGTTAATTACATGGATGGAAATGCCTGCAGGATAAAAGTTAAGGTTTTGTTATCCATTGCTGTCTTTAATTACGTTACCCATCTATGCCAAGGGTATATATTGTTAAATATAGGAGTAAAGAACTGTTGAATGGTTAAACCACCCGTCTGTATCTAGACACTGGAGCTCAACAGGTGTGTACAACACCTGAAGATTGCACCTGGGTGAAACTTCAATGAGTGGCTTGAAGAGCAGGTCAGGTAGAGCTGCCCATTCAGTTGTGACGTGAGGGGAATGGATTTTGCAGTTTGGTGTCACTTCTGATTCTGCAACTGGTGAATTGTATCAATTTTTCTTTGGCACTGAATGACTGAGTATAAATCACACTTGAGTGAAACAGCTGGCGAACAGGTACTCATGTCCATCAGCTGGGCCTTCTTGAAGGAGCCTGCAGGCACAAAGGGCCCAATCGTTTTATGGTTTTATTATAAGATATTAATTGTTTCCTATGTGTAAAAAAAAAATTTTATGGTTTTATTATAAGATATTAATTGTGTATTAATGTGTAAAAAAACCCAGATTGGTAACTTCTTATTTGTTATCAGAATGCACAGGGCAGAAAATATTAACAGTTCTCAGCTTTCAGTTGTAGATCTGTTTCTGAAGGACTGTCACGCTTTCTGAAGGGTCTGAATCTGGTAACAAATACTGATACCCATTTGTTCCTTCAGGAGCTGTCAAAATTGGAGAAAGACAGTTTGCTATATAAATTTAATATAGTTTGGCTATTTTTGTTTATATGACGTGCTCAGAACGGTAAAGCGATTGGGTTATTAAAGGAGATGACTGCGTATACACGTGACAGCAGTCTTCTGCTGCATGAGAACAGTGATGAGTTCATCTCTTGTCCAGTGACCAGAAGAATTTGGCTTACTTTGCAGCAAAATGAATGTAACCATGAGATAGTGAACTTCTCTAATATGCTAGGGATATTTTGGAATTTTCTTCTTTAGTCTTTTTGGAGCAGGTTAAGCAAATATCTCTTTCTGGCTGTTGAGCAGGTAGTCTGTAAATGTTCTTGCCTTCGTGGAGAATTTTGGATTACGTTAGATCCTTCACCAAATCACTCCTTACAGGGATCATTTCAGAGCTCTGGGTGGATGGGCTGCTTCTGTGAAGCCATGTTTTCCTTACCCACGTAACAAGTGAAGGAACTGCTCCGAAGTCTGTACGGTGTTAATGACTACGGAATGTCCTGTTTGCTGACCTTCTTAAAATTGTATTTTAAACTGTGTGTATATATGTACACAGTTCTGCATCTAAGAAGGCTGTTGTGTATTCTTTTGCCCAATTAACAGGTGGGTCATTTTTTTAAAAAAGAAAGACTCAGCCATTGTGTTAAAGTAGCTCAACTGGTTTTGGTAAGATTTTTCATCTACATTAGTACAAAATACAATTCAGCAGCTTCTAATAAAAGCTTTAAAATACCTGGTGTAAATGCAAGGGTCAAACCTCCCATTTTCATTTTGTCCAGCATTTTGAAAAAAAAATAGAGCTTAGGTCAGACTGGCCTTGTTTCTGGAAGGCTTTGCTCTTCCAAACAGCACTTACGTACATGCTTGTGTAAACATAAGGGTTTTCCTGTGCAGGGGCCAGGGATACTGCAAGTACCTGGATACTGCAGGGTGTCTGGTGGAGAAATCAAGGTCATTGTTTTGGTGCTGGTTAGAGCTGAGGCTTCTGATTGTATTAAAATAAATCTTTTGTTCCTTTTTCACTGCTACGTGTGTCTACAGACCTAAAATCCAGAATGAGCAGTGAGCTTATAAAAATGTGGTTTGGAGTTGGGTTATGAAAGTGAGTAGGAGGGAGGGTAAATGATGAGGGATGCATTTAACTGAGAAGGCACGGCAGGGATAGAACACTTTTCAGGCAGGATGCTTGAAATCTCTGCTGCTGCGCTTCATCAGGAAGCAGACGTATGTGCACGGATAGAACCTGTCTGTGTGTGACCAAAAGTTGTGTAACACTGGTACCACTCCACTTATCGCACGCATCTCACTTTTTACATGCGTCTTAAATATTTAAGCACAGTAAAATATTGGAAATAGTAATTTGCTTAAAGTTTTTAAAATACAGTATGCAAAACCTAACAAACTACAGTTGCAATTGCCTCAGAGTAGCCATTTCTAATACAGATTCCTTCAGTTCCCATCAGAATTTGTTTTCTGCCTCTGAGAAACTTTAATCTCCACCTTAATGAAAACACCTCTGTCTTCATTATGCTAAATTGGCTAAGAAGGAACATCTGTCTACAATAGGAGTGGTGTTTGTGATCAGTGTGTGGAAGACTAACTTCCGAAAAAGACCTTGCTTTTCTGTGCAGTGAACCTTTGTTCTACCGAGCGGAACATGATGTAGGTTTGGGGCTCAAGTGCTTCATTCCAAACCTATGAATGACCAGGGGGTGGTACACACAGTGGCTGACTCTATGGGAGAGTTCATTGGTGTGGTCCTTACTGTGTACATTTCTTTAGAAATTGGTTAGAATATTCTCTCGCGTTTTGCATTTCTGCTTCACTGATTCTGTGGGAAACATTAAAACCTGTGGAATCTCAAATACCCCGAAGCTCAAGCCTGTCACCTTTTGAGAAGCAGTTGAGCACTGTGTGGCCAAGCACAAGGTGAGCTTTGCTGTGAGGTGGTGTCGGATGCTGAAAACGCTCTACACTGAGGAACTATGTTTGTTTAATACATTTATTCTAGAATGATAAATATGGAGTTGGTTTTTTTTACTTTAAACTTATAAAATATCACCTCTAATTGAACTTCCAGTACCTTCTGGAACATCTGGATGAAATGACTAGGAGAGGAGGAAAGCTGTTGAGTATGTGTGGAGCAGGATCTGTTTGAATGCTGATGGTGATTTTTCCTCCACATGGTGAGTTTTCCAGCCGGTGAAGGTGGGCAGAATTTCAACAGCTGTTTTTGTTGTTTGGTTGGTTTAAAATGCTGATTTCTGAAATAGGATCCAGTAATGACACAGGTCACCATTTTGATGAAGCAATTGCTTCGCCTGCTGGAAAGTTTTCACCAGAAT